TTTAAAGCTGATAACTCAGTGCAAATTTTTGCACGGACCCACAGTATTTTTTTTAAATAGCATTTAATCCAGGTTTAGGTTAAGCTAATAACAGGTGTGTTTAAGAATCTATGACCAGTTTAAATTGTATATCCGCTAAAGACCCTGCACCAAGTGGGAAACGGAAAACTTGAGTTGAATTAGATTCAATTTTGCGTGTAGATAGACCCTGGTTTTACTACCAGATAAGCACAAACATAGCTAAGCTAACATGAATTGGATGTATAGACCTATTTCACAGAAAGAAATCTCCTCTTAAATCAGAGAGTAAATACTATGCAGAAAAAATGATTTTATCAGGATGGGATAGAAGGGTATGTCTTCACCTGCTGATGTACCATCGCCTCTTTTTCTTGTTGCTATGGTTATATACCTATGTATACACACATATACTTGTGTACCATCTATATACTTCTCCCCATGCCCCGTGGGTAAGAGCGGTGCTAATAACACCGCACTCTAAACAAAAGTAAGAAGATACAAACTGATATTGGAGTAAAAGCTCTTTTGATCCACTGGAGATAAATTACTGAGATGCTTTTGGAATGGCCACCCCAGAGATTTCCTGGAGTGCATTGCGTTACCTTGCTTGCAGCCAGAAACAGCTGTTTGCAGAGATCTTACTAATTAAGTAATTAGGCAACCAAGTTATACTCTTTGCTCTTGCTAATGTAAAGGTGTGCGAATGCAACTGCCCTTTAAGACAGGCATACTTTTAGGGTTTTTTTTGGTGTCATCCTAACTTTATCTGAACATACAGCTTATTATTTCACATTTAAGAATGGCTGGAATTTGCGTTGTGCCGAACCAAGCCACAATGTGATGAGGGGAGGCAGTAGAGAGGAGGATCCTCAGGCTTTACAGCTGAAATGGCTTGATTTGAATGGTAGCAAAGCGGGATCACCTGGAAATCTTACTCTGCTCCTGTTCAGTGGGATGGAAACTTGATCTGGGGCCCTTAATTTCTACTTCAAATTTACTTCAGGTGTTCTACAGGGGAGGAGTCATTGCATATAACCAACACATGTGGTGGTCTGTTTCTTGCCAAGGATGGAGCCAAATTAAAGGCTGGAGGGAAGAAATATGCGAAGACAGGTTTTAAAACAGCCATCAGAGCAGATTCTCAGATGATTCACGAGTATCTTTAAATACTTTACCTCCCTTTTACACTTCAGAGGCATGAAAGAGCAATTGAGTTGAGCGAGGACACGCAGGAAGCCCGTGGAACAGTACAGTATTATTATTATTATTATTATTATTATTATTTCCGTATTATATCTCAGAACTTCTTTTTGTTTATTCACACCAGGCATAAATTATTACTGAGACTAAATAGTTAATAAGGGTTGATTCTTACTATTTTTACGCTCAGAGCAAGGAGGAGGTGGCAAAAGCACACGCCGCCGGCCCGCGCTCACGCAGCCCCCGGCAGAGCTGCGTGGCTGCACCTCGCACCCACCCCGGGCC